CCCCCCCCCCCCACACCCCCCCCCCCCCCCCCCCCCCCCCCCTCTTTTTTTTTTCTGCGGGGGGGGGGGGGAGTTACTTCTTACAGTGCTAGTATACTATTCAGTCTCATGTGTACATTTCTGGTAAAGATGCTTGCCCAGAATGTAGGGAAGGACTGTGCCTGTTGTATCTTCATGATAATTCCAGCAAACTTTGAAAAAACAACAAAACAAAAATATCTTTCTTTACTCATTAAAATGATCAATTTTGTGTATGCCTATTCTCCATTCCTTAGTGCAAGATGCCTTAAGCTCCATTATCCTACTATCAACAAAGTCATGATAGAATGAAAGAAATTCCTGCAGTGTCTTGAAAAACGCACTTCTGCAGTTTTAGCACGTTTCAGACTCATTTATTTATTCAGAAACTAATTCATTTGGATTCCTCTTCTTTAGAATAAAGTATGAAATAATATTGCCAAATAGGAAGATGGGTTCTGGTGGACTTCTTTCAAATTGTAATTCATCCATGTATTTATCTGGTTGTAGTAATTTACAGTTTAACTTTTAATATAAATAAATTATTAAGTACAATAAAATTGTGGCTCTATGCAGCTCACAGGAATTGATGGGCATTAAATATTACACATACTTTGAGGGATGAGTAAACCATATAGATCAGTTCAGCCCTGCCTTCAAATTTTAGTAAATTTTGCCTGGAAGAGTACTCTTCTATCACTCATTTGTAGCAAATGGGTGGATATTTTGGCATTACTCTAACTAATTAGGCACAATAAGTGGCTAATAAGTAATCACACATCAAATTTCTATTTGATTTTTATCTGATTTCAGGACTTTTTTTTTTTAGAGTAAGAGGGCACAGATTCTATTTTATGTGAACAGTTATTATGTGTATATATATACACAGTTATTAGACTAAATTCAGATTAGAAAAGTAGAATAATAAAGTGTCAGAATTTAATTATCTTGTGTGTGTCATTTCACTTGTTCCTGTAACCTTATTTTGAGTGAATAACCTCATACCCCTTACTTGAATATCAATAATCTGTCTTCTCTGTCAAACAGGGAAAAGCTGTTAAATTGTTTTTTTTGTGAAGATATAGTTCCTCATTGTATGTAGAAGAGTCTCAGCACAGTCTTGAGGATTGGAAATATATTGCTGCATGGCTCAGTGGCTTATTGAGGATCTCCCATTATCTAATCAACACAGAGAGCTTTTTTCTTTGTGTTAACTGGTGTAAAATGTTATTCTTGCAGAACGTGATTCATAAAACAGACGGGGAAGGGAGAGGACCAATTTTTAAACATTTTATTTTATATAATTATATAAAATAAAAATTACAGTAGTGATATGATGGCAGTAAGAGTTTTCAGTGTTAGCAGATGTCCTGAGAAAGTCATTTTGTTAAAATAGTATAAGCAAAGCAATTAAATTTGCATAGGAAATGCAGCAGAATAATACAAATCTAGAGATAACTTCATGAATTTTATTTGTAATATGCGTTAATATGCATACAGCTACTCAAATGTGTGTATGCATATTATAAGACTTTTAAAAGAAAACTGAAGAACCACATGCTAAGATGAGTAACAGAGGGGAGAAATCATGAAAAGATGGATATGGAAAATAGATCAATTAAAATGGGACGCCTTGCTGAGGTAGCGTGTAGGAAATAGTGTTTGGTTTGGTTTTCCTTTACTAATGATGCTGTTCTCTCCAAAACCACAGATGCATTCACAGACAGTGCTCCAAAATCCTCGATTATCTGTATTAGGACTGGAACAACTAAGTAATGAGATTTTTGAATGTTAACCAACAATTGCTTGTAACATTTCTTTGAGGTCTTCAACAAGTAAAGTTTTTATTTTTAAGAAGGCAAGGACCAAGCTCAGTGAATTTGTGCTCCCACACTAGGAATCCTATGTGCTGTGATAAAATAAACAAATAGTAACCTATGCTTATCAAATCAGAGTTTATATATTTCTAAATATAAATATATATATATAATATTCTGAATGACATACAGGTGAACATCTATTTGGAGTTCAGTTAAATGAAGCTTCAAGCACAATTTTTGGTGTTTTTTTTTTTTTTTTTTTTTTAATGGTCTACAAACACATCAAATCAGAAAAATGGAGAATTAATGTGCTACATTTTATCACCTAATATATCAATATATTTCCAAAACCTATAGATCAACACTCTGTTTTGACACAAAATACTCAGGGCTCTCTTGCACTTGGTGTATGCATGTGCTTTCAGAATAGTGTGTCTAGTGCATATTTGTCCAAATTACCAAAAATACACATCTTTAGGAAAAAAAAAAAAAAAAAAAAAAAAAAAATATATATATATATATATATATATATATTTCTGAAGAAATGTATTGTTGGGAGTTCCTCTGTGAATTTTATCCATTAAATTATACTTCCAAGTTTGAAGAGAGAGATTTTAGTATGTTACTGTAAGTACTGAATTGACCTAGTTGTTTTATCTTGCATGTAACCTAAGAAATTGTATCTGTAAGGCAAGTCATTATTTTATTTGACACCTTGAAATGTCAGTATTTTGGGCTTTGCGTGCATGGAATTTCTATAAAGAAGGATATATTCTTAGAGATTTAACAGTTTAAGATGAAATTGTTAGCACTAAAATCCCAGTAATATCGTAATCTCAAAGTATTTTTGCATTTCCTATCTTAATTTCATTGGAAAAAGAGAAGTTTGTATACTTCCCTATGGATCAATTTTAGTATCTGCCATTTCAGTCAAATTAGGGGAACGTGAGTGATCTGTGTAAAATAACTCAAATATTTCTGCTTTTGGCCTTGTAAATAATTTTTAATTGGTTCTAGGTCATGAACTGGAAATTGCAGTAAATTATACATTTGTGTAGAGGTGAGAAACTAAAGGAAACATTCTCTTGTATATCTGTACTAGCAAACAGTTCACGAAGATACAACTTTTGTGATGACTGAAAGTATGACTGTGGAAACCGCTTACGTGCCTTCTACATACCTGGCAGAGATCCTTCAGCTTCTGCAAGCCTTGTCTGAAGTAGAAGAACGCCTTAATTCTCCTGTTCTGCAGGCTAAGGACTGTGAGGACCTCTTGAAACAAGAAGAATGTCTCAAGGTAAGATGGAATGTTTTCTTTATATCACGCTTGTGTGATTTTGGGGCTGCTTTTTATTGGCAGCCTGTGTTCACTTACACATTTTTATAAGTACTCAACTCTGCTGTGATTTGTGCTTATATGGATGTTTAGATATGAAAACACATTGCTATGAAATGTAAGAGCACTGGTGGTTTCATATGTTTTTATCTGTTTCACCCAGATTAGTAAGAAAGGTGATTCTGTGAAAAGCAAAGGCATTAAGGTATCTGCACAGCATAACCCTGAGTGGAATAGTGGGAGAAAGGATGGAGAGAGGCAGTTCTGTATTTAAAATTGCAGTCGTGGTTAAAGTTTACTTTGTGTGTTTTTATTTTGAATGAATTAGTAAGTACTTAAAACCTGTCCACACGTGATCTCGGACAGCTTTATTTTAGTGTGACAGATCAAAAAAAAAAAGAAAAAAGAAAATCAAGTAGGTGTTCCTTTGCATATTGAACTATGAAAGCTTAAAGTCTGATTGGAGATATATCCTACGCAACTGTTGTCGTTTGGTTTACTATACAAAAAATGCTGTCCAATAGGTAGCTAATATAATTACGAGAAGTCTAATTCAGAACTGTTAATGTAACTTTAAATATTATGGTCCATTTTCTTTATTGCTCCTTGAAATTGGAGAATTTTTTCAATACCGAATGACTGAATAAGAGAACAAGATTGACACTGTAAGGCTAAGTGGGTGAATGAGTTATCTGCTTCTGCAGAATAGTGTTTGTGAATAAACCCTTGTAAAAAATCGTGCCTAACTGCTGTATACAATACAGCAATTTCAAATTACCATCAGCACATAAAGACCACATTTCCATTATTTCTGTGATCATTTGGGGAAAGTTTTTAACCAAAAGAAACTTGAGCCCAAAGAATCTAAAATCTGTCTGCAGTCATTCAGATGAAATAAGCTTTGTGGGAGAATCGAAATAAGGTCTCTGGCAAGGAGATCTGAAGTGCCCTCAAGGAGCCCATTTATAGTTCTTGCATAGATACCTTTACATATACACATACGGCATCTCTGTGTGTTTGTGTGTATATATGTGTGTATATTTGCAGACATGGATATGCTTATTATCTCTTAAAAATTAATGATTTACATTTCCTAGGAGTATAGTTTGTCCAGGGAAGCACAAAACTAAAGTATTGGAGCAAGAGAATAACTGACAATAGGTCTGTGAGAAGAAACAGCAGATCACTCCTTTTTTCCTCTTGTGATTTAGTATTAGTAGATTAAAGGGCTCTGAGTATTGACTGTACTAAGTTAATTTTCTAAAAAAAAAAAAAAGAGGCATAGATCATGTAAATCATAGTTAAATGAACTAACACTTTGTCCGTGTCCGTAAACTCGTTATGCTCATTACTAGATGGGCTGGAAATACAGTGACCTAGATCAAGTAGTTTACTGGCAGTTGACTTCCTATTGACATTTGGACCATCTTTATCTGATTTACATCCATAACTAATCTGTTCTTCACCCACGTATGTTTGTTGCTATTAGAGTTGACACCGACTTTAATAATATTGATTACTGAGGTTAGAAGTAAGCATTGCCATAGGTTTAATTTAACTGAGCTATTAAATTGTTACGAGATGCATTTGTGGGCACATTTCCATCTTCCAAATAAATCTCTCAGAAGAGGTAAATGGATCTTGCACATTTGTGGGTTTTTGGAAGGGTATAGTTTTGATCTGAGCCTGCTTTATGAATATTTATTTCCAAGTAAAAGCATTCATCATTGTCATTATCCTGCAGTAAAAATAGAAAAGTAGTGCATAAATTGTTCAGCAGCTGGTTGGGAAAGGTTTGAAATTAAATTGTGGTTGATTTTATCCCTGGCAGATTTGCATGAATCAAATTACAAAGCTGTCATGAATAGCTCTGTGTTTTAAAACTGAGTTTGTAAGGTTTCTTTTTCACTCCCATTCATAAATGATCTATTTCAATTAATCCTTAGAAGGAAAAATAAGTTTATTTACTGGAATCTTTCAGTGTTAACCACTTTGAACTTTTTTCTCCAAAGTAAATGTGTGTATTAAGACTTAAATCTGATTGCTTGAAATCATTCTAGTTAATTCTGTAATCCAGTATGATAAATATCAAATAGAAATGAAAAATATGCTTTTATTAATTGCAAAGACAGTTCTAACAGTCACTTTTTATATCAAAGGAATGTAATTTTTTTTTTTAAAGGAATATGTGTATGTGTATCCAAAAATAATATTACTTCTAAAATTTAGTAAATTGTTATTATTATTGTTATTATTAGGCACATTTAGTAAGCCCACACACACCAGCTTCTAGGAACATTCTGTTCATTGAAAGTTTGAGTAAATGGTAAGAGTAGAGAAACCAGGTCTTTCTATCTCATAAAATCAGGGATTGCAGTATTTCTATTACCCTATTAAAAGTTCTGTTATGTGTGTCCTAATACATAATACATTCTTGTTCACGACTGAATTTAAACTATTTTTAAAACAGTCTGAATATTACTGTCGTGTCAAAGATGGAGCTCCATCTGGTCACATGGGAAATCTCAGTTCATAGATTGAGGATTAAAAAATTGAACTTAATGAGATGCTCCCAATGGGGCAAATTTTGTTACAAGCAGAAACATTATGGTACTTTTACCTACTATTGATGGTAACTTGTGTCATTTCACTTAGGATGCTAGATTTATTGTTTTACGATACAGCTTAGCAGAAACGCTAAGTCAGGGCCTGAACCAGTGATTGAGCATCTGGTGGGAAGGCAGGGCCAACCCAGCGGAGCTCAGCTGCATACAATACACCTGAGTAACCAGAAGAGGTGGAGTCAGGATCCACCCCTCACAGACTTCATTCAAGGGTTGGCAATGGAGGCAAGGGTGTCTTAGTGGGGGTCCCTGTGTATCTGAGGTCTTCTGAAGGTAAGCAGCTTCTTTCTTTTCTTTCTGTGTCTGTGGCAGTTGCATTTGAGTAAGTTCTTGCTTGCCACAGCCTGGGGCCTTGCTGCTCTACTGTCATTGCTGTGCTTTCCATCATGTTACAGCAAGTTTCTGGAATTTCATCCTTGTTCTGTGCTCTTAATCTCTGAGTTCCTTATGTAGCTTTTATTGTAATTACGTGGCTTAATTGTGTGACCATGTGCAAGGATACTTTTATATCCTTGCAGTTCAAAGAGTTTAGCTAATCATTACTGGCACTAGAGTTTTCAAAATGCTTCCTGAAAGTTAAATGTTTCACTTTGCATATGTGGAAATTAATCCTGTTTTAGGAAGTCAAGTTACGTTGCTCCTATTACACAAGATGTTCCTTATGTGGTAGTTATCTCATGTAAACTATGTATCCTGTTGAAACTCTGGATTATTTAGTATGATATGCATATTCTGAAGTAAAATAACTTATCAACTTAAGAGTTAAAACATATTTTTGCTTATGGGAACATAGCAGAAGTGAGTGGATAACATGAAACTGCCTATTAGGGACTTAGTTCATTATATTTGCTTTTATAGCTGTATGTAAGAAAGTGCTTAGTAGACTTTTGTGTTATAAATTGCTGTTATAGTCTCAGTGTACTTGTGTCTACTTATTCAAAAATTACCTGAACTGTGAAATCAAAACTCTTATTTTCTGAGGCTACTTACTCTACATAGTTAATGATGCAAATTTGCAGTAAAGTCCATATTAATCAGGCTGTTGGGTTGGGTTTTTTTGTTTGTTTGTTTTTAAATCTTAATTTTAATGCTAACACTATAAAATATGATTCTACATTTAGCTATAATATTTTTCAATTATATAATAGTTTTAATATGGAAAGCCATCTGGTTCTTTGAGAGAAGTTTCTTATGTATGTAACTCCTTGCATAATCATTTTAATAGTTCTAGTTCATTCTTTTATGCATTTCCAGCTCTTTACTTGGACTTAAAAAGTGGGTTGTTTGTTGCTCTACTTCCTTAAATATAGATATTTTCATGCTGATATTTATATATATTTCTATTCTTTTGCCTTTATGTGGTAGCTATTACCCTTCACTTACTGAGAGGGAACTTTTTTTGTGCAGAGATTTCTAAAGTGGCTTACTTGGGGTTTACAGAGTATTTTCTCGAAGCATTATGCTTCCGGAATACCACCATAATCTTCTTTCAATATATTGTATTAAAGCAATAATACCCATATCAGATATTATAAGTTGTAGTGTATAGAGATTTTAAAATTAGAAGTAATTCTTGGAATTTTTCTGCTTAATCTTGATTACTAACAACTGGTTCTGGTATTAGTACAACAATATGCTGAATTATAGGAAGTTTACAATTTGTGTGATTTGCAAATATAATCTTTATCTGTCAGATATAGGCAAACTCTGAGTTGTGGAAATGAACTGAATTTCAAGTCCCTATCACTCAGATTTCTCTTTTTGAGAGAAATGAGATGGATCGTTCCCCAAAGGCTACTGTCACTCTAGCTGCTAATGATTTTCTATATAATCCTTTTTTTCATAAAAATTAAAGCCTTTTGCATTTCTGTTAACTATGTTACAAAATCTCCCAAGGCATTTTTGATAGCTAACTGCTTGGAGCAGATGGAGTATATGTATAAAATACTTATGTTTGTGCAGATGCAAATGCACGTGATCTCGTTTCTTTTCTTCAATCCTATGCCATTCAGTTGTGGATTTCTTTTATAGAAGGTCAACTGTATTACCTTTATTTGTCTGTAACAGCTCTGCTTTAAACAAAAGCTAAGATCTGCCTTACACATCAGAAATCACATGCTTCTCCATTGGCAACTCATTGTGAACGTTTTGAGATTTGCCACTTGTCAATTCTGAAGTGTATAAATGCTGTTTCAGTTGTATATATTTCAATAAATGGATTTATTCCATTCTGGGAAACATGGATTGTGAAAACAAACAGGGAAACCTGTTAGGTTAACACTGCTTTACCTATGGCTGTGAAATATGCACATCTGCATTTCTGTTGTTTATGCTTTGTACTATCACAATGAAATCAGTGCCTAATTTTAAGATTTCTCCACCAAATCATTGTTTTCATAATCTTTGATAAAGCTTACCACCTGAGTTTGCTAAGGTCTCCCATAGATTCCCAGCAATGAGCATACTGTACATACACAGTACAGTTGCAGAACCTCAGTATTCTCCACAGCTGTTTTTGCTGGTGTTTGCTCCAGGGTGTGGTTTCTGAGCTGTGGAATAGACGGAAGTGAAAGTCAGGTCATGTAAATACTGATATTGCAAAACTTCACCACATCTTCACTATATGGGATCTTAACTTTTTTTTTTTCTCCAAATGTTTACTTAAAACATTATGTAAATATACATATATATATATGAATTATAAAGATTATATATACATGTTTAGCACTTCGAATTTATAGATAACTATATTTATACACAATGTTCTAAACGTATAAATATGTGGGTGTATATAAAAAAAAATTGCAGGGATGTGTGTGTATATATGTAAATATTGAAGTGTGTGCAGTGAAATAGATTTCTTGGTCCATGACTTAATTCCTCTGCCAGAAATTTAAATAACACTTAAATTGTTGAAATTTGTAATTGATAAACTCTTTATGATAGGAGATACAATTAAAATACTTTTGAGAGGTTCTTATATGTTTCTAGCTCTAAGAACATTAAAAAGAGGAACAAACTAATCTAACAAAATTAACCATTTTTTCCTCTGTGACAATAATGTGCTCTGGATTTCAGCTTATATAGTTCAGGTTATTCTAGTCAGCAAGAGCTTGCAGTATCAAACCTCTATTTTATCTCTTTTGTACTGTGTTGATGTATAAATAGTTACTTGTCCTTCAGAGTAGGTGAGCAAAAGAACATTGAGCAAGTCAAATATATATGTTGTCTGTTATGAGGACTGTGGTGCTGTAAAAACATAACAGCTGAACAAGTCAGTTGTATTTAAGGGTTTAATTGGCTTGTAAATACGGATTTACACGGAGAAAGTCTCTGCTAATGACTTTTTGTTGCGTTTAAAGCTTTTCTGGTGAAGTCAGAATGCAGTTTATGATACTATTTTTGCTCAGCATTGGGTTTTCCAGCAAATTTGGTCATTCAGATGCTTCTGAAGGATTAAACATAAGCTCAACCCTGCCTCCTTCATAGAACACAAATATATGGTATATTTACATATTGCTTTATAGAGAAAATAAGAAAATCTGCATAATTCAATGATGAGACTGAATGCATTAGTAATTGTGTAATTAGTGGCTATTGACTAAGGGTGAATATTTCAATTCCTTCACACATTTTAAAGATTTCAAGGACCGGAGTAAATTTGGTTTTTCTCTTTATTTTTTTTTATAGTCTGCACTGTACTGTTAGGCAAAAATACTGTTAACTATTTTCTCTAAAACACAAGGAACTGAGCATTGCTAGGTGTAAAGGACTAAGAGAAAAGAGAAGTGCTGAGTTATCAATGTCCTGAAAAGGACTGATAGCCAATAAGCTATCTTTCTCATCCTCTAACTTTGGTATCTATGTAATACGTGCTGAAGCTGTTACAAGAGAGGACCCTAACTGTCAAACAATGAAAATTTTCTTGAACATGAGCCTGTAAAGTGGTACTTTCTTCTGCTTTCTGTTAGAATGAATGGGGTTAAAACAGTTATTCCCTTGGCGTAGGGGAGTTAATGACTGACTGAATCAACAGAGCTTTGCTTCCCTACAGCCATTACCTTTCTCATATGTAGTTAATTGCATCTTTAAAGAAAGAATGGGTATTCAGTCATTATTACCTGGTTGTATTCTAAAATGTTATCATGTCTAGGCTGTTATTTACATTATTTTTTCCTGTTTGTCTTTTGCTTGTGGACAGTGTTTTTTACAGCTGATGTCTTGTTTTTCTTTTAAAAAATCTTGATGTTACAGAACATTAAAGATCGCCTGGGGAGACTCCAGGGTCATATAGACATTATTCACAGCAAGAAGACACCGGCTTTGCAGAGTGCTACACCAAGGGAAACAGCAAATATACAGGAAAAGCTGACTCAGCTTAATTCCCAGTGGGAGAAAGTTAACAAGATGTACCGGGACCGACAGGCGTAAGTAAACTTTTTAAAAGTCTTATTTCTGATAACATTTGTTAGTATTTGGTTTATTGTTGGTGATACTCTTCCTTATGCAGAAATGACTTTTAAAGTTGTGAACTATACTTTCTTCTAACTAAGCATAGAAAATTTTATAGGAAATTGCATTTTAAGTATTTTTGTAAAATTGTAAATATGTTGACCAACTGTCACTTATCAGTCCAAAACCTGGGATGGTATTGCATTTGTGTTTCACTACAGTTATTGTACCTTTTATCTGAGATAGGTATGAAAGAATAACTATTTGATACTATATCCAGCATTATTAAGATAGAAATCTTAACCTGTGATGGATGTAACTGAGTAAAATCCCTTGTAATTGTAGGGCATGTACTAGTTCTAGGAGCAATTCTAACTGTATTTCTAAGGAGCATGCTTAATATTGTTAGCAGCTCTAAGTGCAGCATCATTTTTTTTTTTTTTTTTTTTTAAGTCTCTTTGTATATTAGTCAAAATACAGTAAGGCAAAGCAATGGAGAAAAAATATAGAAGGATGTTAAAAGGATAATAAATAAAACTGATCTCCTACATGTGGTACTTACTACTTTATCTTAGTATGTTGCTTAATAGTTAACAAATAAGCTTAAATAAAAATCATTGTTTCAAATGTTTATTGAATTATCACAAGCGAGTCCTTAACAATTCTGAGAATGTAAACTATTAATCTGATACTGAAAATGCTTGTGTATATAGGAATATGTAGGAATTTCACTAGGTTGGCACTTTCAGACATGCTTTCAGGTAACTTTCTATTCAAAAAATTCATTTGATATGCTAAGAGAGTGACTTGAAATTTAGTGGAATATGAACTTCAATTACGGTATTGATAATTATTGCACAGTGCAGTAGATGGGGATATAAACCCTGTAAGTGATGACCAGAAGAAATAAAAATACTTTCTGTAGACTAAGACTGTGCTGATTTTGTCTTACAGTCCAAACCTTGGTAACATTTTTAAACAAAGGACACATGAGTATTGGTCTACAGCTGTCACTGCAAATCTGTAGAGGCATGATCTTTCAGCTGTAAGCCATTCAGTGGCTTTGATTTAGGTTGCTGGAGAGAGAGAGAGAGAGAGAGTAAAGCTTAAAAAGAGACAAAAAGAATCATGGCTAAAATATGTTCAGTAATCTTCAAGTCACCTCTGTTTTGTCTCAAAATTTTGAGATTCTAACATGAATATCACTTCTTTTAATAATAAGCCTGTTCTAGTGTGGTAAGAAATACCGTTATTTCTTACCGAACTTTGTTCAGCATGGTACCACATAAAAATTCTGAAGAAGTCAGAAGCTGAGTCTGGAGCTCAGCTGCTCACACAAAGATAGCAAAAGCAGGATGTTTAGTACTGTGCTTTTTCCAGAGGTGGCTTCGGCCAAAGTCATAGATTTTGGTCTCAGTACTTCAAAGACCAATCTCTGAGAAATCTTAAGATCTTCTCATATATGTTGTCTTCTACTGAAGAAGTGCTGTTGGCTGAAAGCTTGGTCCACCAATGCTAGCAGTTGTCCTTTGTTTAGACTACAGTGCCATTTAGCCAGCAGCAGAAAATATTCTGAGGTGAAATGAATTAGTATTTGTCAGGTATTTTGAAGCCACCACATAAAGGCACTAGAGAAGTATGAAGTGTCATTTTCTTTCCAGCCTGAGTTTGCCTGGGGGTGTCATCCTCTTTTAGGATGACTGGCACCAACTCAGGGTAGTGATAAGCTTGACTGCTGCCCAGAATCACGGACCTTTTTTCTTTTAAATCTCTTGTTTGTAGTGTCAGTATTACTGTGTTACTGTTCACCTGGTTTTGTTTGAACTCTGGGATGGTCCCTGTAGCTTCTGCAGTTTTGTGAGGTGCATTTGGACTGCACATGAATGCTTAGGAGGAGATGAAGGAAGACAATACTGCCTTCAGCATTTTGCTTCTAGCGTTTTGTGTCTGTAAGGGATTAAACTATCAGTGTAAATCTTCCATTGAGACATGGATGAAGCTGTTTTTGAGATGCATTACTGATGATGATCTTTTAGGACAGTTTTGAAATTTTACTGGAGCACTGTCTTGCTGTCATGGGAGTGTGCATAAGGGAAATATACATTCTGTGTTTGAAAGTGTCTGGGAAAAAAAAAATTGCCACCACTATTTGTTCATTTATGAATACTGGCTTCAGGAAATCGAAGAACTGTAGTAGAATTGAAGTCACTTAAGTAATTTCCAAGTCAGTTATCACTGTAATTGCAGTAACACGGAATACTTTCCCTTACCCTCTCAGGTACTAGCAGAGAACTTCCCCTAAATCTCATAGAAATCAATATAAACGCTCATGTTAAATAACTATTTTAAGTTTGTGTTTTATAAATAGTTGTTGTTGCTCTAAGAGTCATTACTGGAGCTGAAATGCCTGCTCTTAATGAAACACAGTAAGGAATATGCTCATTTCCAAAGTTTACAGCAACAGAGGCTGGAATTGGCCACTCAGAACATCCTGGTGTCAGACCCAGAAGGAGAAATTCAGTTATTTATACTGTTGCATTAACATTGCTGTATCATTTAAGGAAAGAAATTCATACTTTCTTGTTTTTATAATCTAATATCTAAATATCTCGTTTGAGAGTGATGTCAAATAGGTCTGTCTGAGGAAAAAGTGTTACTACACAGCTGTTTTCTTTTTGGTAAAATTTGTATATGAGGTATAGGCAGAACTGAAAATGGATTTTGTAGGACTTTATGTACTAGCTGGAAATCACAGATACTCTATACAGACATTTGGAAAAAGTCTAAGGTCAATTCCAAAGAATTTGCAGTCATTACTTTGTGGAAAAACGGACATGTAAATCAGGTGTGAGATTTAGTGGAATGGAAAGAAAGGCTTGTACATTGCCATCTTGCGTGTTAGTAAAAGCCTTAGGAATTCATATTAAGCTGCAGATTGTTTATTTGGAAGAGGAAAAAAAAGAGATGGAATGATTGCTTATGTTATTTGCATTAGTTTTATTTACCTTCTCCAAAAAATGCACAGGGTTTTCATACAAGAAAATATGCTTCTGTCTTTTTATTCAGATATTACTCTTTCAGCATTTTGTTCAGTAATTAGTAATCGTAGATAGCATTGAAATATTTGAAACTTAGTTGAATACTTTGCTAGTGTATTCTGGAAATCTTCCTTTTATGTAAAATACATTTCACACAATAGAAGTTCCAATGTACATCTATGTATTTCATGCTTAACTTTATAGTGTGTTCCTTACAAGAAATCAAATTATATTTTCAGTTTTCTTTACATCAGAACATGCTGCAGTTCTACAGAAATTCATTGTAAAGCTATTTGAATGTTTATGCTCACAAATCCAGTTCTTCTACAGTTGTTGGAAGCCTTGTCGTTTTCCAAGTTGTTTCACAGTCACTGAGTGTGCCATTGTGTATTCCCTGTAATTGAGTAAGTGTTCATACTGTACCTTCTGTAAGTTAACAGGAAGTACTTGAAAGAAAAAGTACAAATTCATCAGAACACAAGTTTTCAAGAGATTAATGTTTTGAATACAGCCTAGATCTGTCATGTGTTGGTTTGCTTTTTTTTTTTTTTTTTTTTTTTTTTTTTTTAAACAGGAGGTGAGTGGATTTTCTCCTTATGCATTAATTTCGGAACATAGGTGGTTGTGCTTGTGACAGATGTATTGGGTGACACCAAGTGGAATTTGTTAATTTTTTCCTTTGGTTTTAGTTTTCTGAGTGCACAGCAGTACTGCCATGATTTGTCCATTATGACCCTGGCTGTTTCATTTGTAACTTCAACCCATTTCTTCATGACACTAAATTTCAACATTGTCTTTTTCAGTTGTTGAGTTACGACAGTACAGCTGAAATGTTGTGGAGTAGATGTATGTCAGTATCAATAAGATTACCTGTTTAGATGCTATGAGTTTCTTATCCCTGTACCAGAATTTAACTACAGTCCCCTTTTTTTGCTGCAGCCTTAGGGTTTTTTTTGAATTAATTATGAATATTTAAGAAGCAACACCATGTTCCTGTAGATAAGAACACACAATAATTAATATTTACAAATCCAGGGTGGATGTGGCTCTGGCCAGCCTGGCCTAGCGACCTTGCCAATGGCAGGGGGGTTGAAACTAGGTGATCTCTGAGGTCCTTTTCTATGATTCTATGAAATCTATGTTAGAAAACAGATTTTCAAATGATTGTCTACATAATATCTTGTCAACTTAGTATTTGTGGAAGAACTTGTTTCTCTTATCAGGGCACTGTGTTCTCGGGATGTTTATGCGGCAGTCTTGTTTCTTTGAACAGTACATGCTCTTTAAAAGTATTTCTAGCATCATTGGATCAATCAAATTCAAGTACAGTATAATAGTTTTAAATAATTCTAAACCTATAGCTATAGGATAATAGAATATCTATATTTGAGGTCAAGGCAAACGGGGGGGGGGAAAAAGGAGAAATTCTTGAAAGTTTTTAAATAAAAAATGAAGTAATTTTACAGATACTGGAGAGCTTAAATATTTTTAGACTGCTATTCTTCTTACAGTCCTAAAAGATCTCTTATTAGTGTGCAGTAAACTAACTTCTGTCTTTTTCATGTCTTATTTGCAAAATATTTTCCAAGGCATACATTAGAGCCTAGACAAATGCTCATCTAATTAATAAGAAATCAAATTAAAATTAAATGTTCCGAATGTAGGAAAGTTCATACCAGATATCTCTACAAAGCATTTATAATTCTGAAAAGATCAAAAGAGTCAAATGTCAATCTTTGTTATCTCAAAAATAGGCGGTTTTAGTACTTTGGAATACTGATCACAGAACAGCTGAGGTTGGAAGGGACCTCTGGAGGTCATCTGCTCAAACAGGAACAGTTAGAGCAAGTTCTACTGCTTTGACAAAGAGAAGATCCCAAATCTTGAATAGTGGTGCAAAACAGGGTGATGACTTCATGAAAGTGTCAGGCAGCTAA